ATCAGTATCCTCATCAGCAGCAGCATCCTCATAATCATCAGTATCCTCATCAGCATCATCATCATCATCATTATCAGCATCCTCATCATCAGCATCCTCATCATCATCAGCATCCTCATCATTAACAGTATCCTCATCTGCATCATCAGCATCATCATCATCATCATTATCAGCATCCTCATAATCATCAGCATCCTCATCATTATCAGTATCCTCATCTGCATCATCAGCATCATCATTATCAGCATCCTTATCATCATCAGCATCCTCATCATCATCAGCATCCTCATCATCATCATCATCATCATTATCAGCATCCTTATCATCATCAGCATCCTCATCATCATCAGCATCATCATTATCAGCATCCTTATCATCATCCTCCTAATCAAAATCATTATCAGCATCTTTATCATTTTAACTAGTACATCACTTCCAAGAAGACATTAACATGAAGCTTTATTCAAAGTTCAAAGAGGTTTAGGGAAATAATAATAATAAATTAAAAATGTGTTTATTCTTATGCATTAAGTAGTTCCACTTTTTTCAGGTTAGATCAAAACATGTTTGCTAAAGTTTTTCTTTCATCTCTGCCAATGTTTGATGGATACACCCATCCTTAGTTTCACTTCTTTCATTCTTATCAATTTCAGCGGAAACCTGATTGAACTCCCCAACGTTTGGTTCATGCCCTTTCATCATTTTCTTCTTATTGTTTGTTCCCTTTGCTGACAATAATGTATTCCACCAATATTAATTTATTCCTCAAGGTTGTGGAGGTTTGTATCCTAAATAATTTTAAAGTCAGTTTTTATAAAGTCTCTTTAAAACAAAAAAACTGAATACAGATGAGAGTAACAGTTCACATGATTTTATTTGGCTCTCTACTGTAGCTAAATGAACGACTAAATTTTAAACAACAGAAACAGTTTTGCTGGATTCAGATCAGACCAAAAGAGACCTATGATCAATAATAGCACAACTACTGCATGTTTGACCATGTTTTGACCATTACTGTAATTTTACTGTTATATGCAATTACCTTCCATTGCACTTTAATTCAGAAAGCTTCACCTCAAGTTTATTTATCCATTTTATAGTAATAGCATTGTATATTCTGCATTTGCTGCTATTGCCTAAACTGCATTTCGTTGCCTTATAGCTGTATCTGTGTAATGACAATTAAGTTGAATCTAATCTAATCTAATTAGTATAGCCCAGTGTTAAGTTTGTTTAATGCTACAGAATTGCATACAATCCAGAACATGAACTGCTAACCCCTGAGGCTCTGAGCAACATTAAATATTAGAAGTCCAGGTTTGCCTCAAAGCAGCTCTAAGGGTGAAGAGATAAAAAGATAAAGTCCTCCAGGAAAACACATTTAAACATCTTTGACCTGCAGCCTATTAAAAATTCTAGAAAGTGGAAAGATTATGGATGGTTTAGCATGAAAGCCTCAGATTCTACAGAGGTTGATATGAATTCCTCCAGGAAAGAGGAGGAAAATAGATTTACACGAACTTTACTTCAATCTGAATGTGGAGAGGTACTGAGGTGGGACTGAGGTGGGATTTGATCCCACAGACTCCCGGAGGAAGGTACTGCGCTCACTGGAAGGGATAATCAAGCAGCCAGAGGCATAGACAGGATTACACTGGATATAAAGTATGTCTACTGTCTCCAAATTCAGCTGCAGAATATTTAAATTGATGTTAAGTGACTCAAATAATCCAAATGAAATAAAAGTTGAGGTTCCCAAAAGAACCTAGCTCCAAATGCGATTTACTCTATAGAAGATTTTTAATACATTCCAATATTTCATAACGTATGATGTCCATCCTGCACAGAATGAATTGGGCCTCATGATTATTCCAAATTTTCATGGATAAGACAGCAGCGGCACCGTTCAACGAAAACACATAAAAACTGCTTTTAACAAGAAAATGGAGGATGATTGATAATGTCAAATCAATAATTGTTATTTCCCTTATTGTTAGTGATTAAAAGTTAGCCCACCCCTAACCCTGGTAACAATAAAAATTATTTAACTAATTAATGAAAAACCAACAAACCCAACAGTATGACTCAGTTTGGTTACTTTTTGCACTCTAGTGAGGATAATCACATGTCACTCGTCGTGTCCAGTAGAGTGGGGGATTGCTGCTGAGTCAATATCTCCTGTCTCTACCTCCTCATCCTCCATAGTCAATGACCTGATGCCATCAGCTGGTTTTCCTGTGACAGAAACTTTCAGCCTTTAATCTGACTGTATGATCTTGTTGTTCTGGATCTATAAAGTCACCTGAGATGACACAATGGGAAATTTTCTCTGGTGTCATTTTTGGCTCAGCAGTTGTCATAATACCAGCGAAGGGTACCTACTGTAGTAGGAGAATTGGTACAGTACCATTCAAAATGGCGCTTCCCAGTGAAACGGCAGTTGAATCGCAGCTGACGTCCCTCCACCTCCAAGCCAAGTCCCCTCCAACTTCCAGCCACTGTCCTTCCCCTGGGTCTGCAGATTTTTTTTACTCTGACTCCACCCTTTCACTGAATTACAGGCTCTGATCAGGAGATGACGCTTCTCTTTAGATCTTAATGTCGACAAATCATGACAGAAAGAATGTTTTAGTATAAAGACTGATGTTTAAAAAGAATTTGAAGGCGACCAGCCAATGACCAGCCAAGGATAGTGGGGAAATTTTGAATGGGTACTACTTTCAATTTGCATGTTTTCTATGCCAAAATATATTGCTTTTGGTCGGCTCTATAAAGTCTCAAACTCAACGCTATTTCTGACTCTTTGAATTGAAACAGCTTCCTGGATGGGAAGCGAAACGTCTTCAAACTTGGAGACAAAGTCCAGTGGATTAAATAGATATCAGAGATAATTTATGGCTCTGGGATGTCCGTGCCTTGCTCACTGGTTCAAAGACAAAACTGTTTTAGTCAGACTTTATCCCTCCAGATCTCAGCTCTCTCTTTGGAACAGAAAACGTCTCCTGTCTGTTTCAATGGCGTAAATATTATTTATCTCATTAGAGGTTTCACAAGGTCTTTCAGGACCACTTCTCTTTTATCTTTATCTCACAATGACTGGAAGACTCTTTTAGTTTGTCTCTCTCCTCATTCCATCCAACTCTGCCCGATAAATTAATGCCTCCCAATGAATAATTTGAATGAGATTAGGCTAATGACTGCTGGCACTGTCAGGTAGCTGAACAGGTTGACTTACAGATGAGGCATCAGGCCAGATTTTCCTCCTGCTCTGAGCTTCAGTGACAGTAATGACTTTTGCCTGTACGACAGAACAAATGACGCATCCCATAAGGAAATTATGCAAAGAGTCTTGCAGTAATTTCTCTATCAAAGTACCGTTCTTGACGGCCTCTAAAAATATACACTGGTTTACTTATTTAACGGCTGAATAATACCGATGTAAAACTGCTTTGCTTTTTAGCAGTGAATGTAAAAACCGAGCATTCTAGGAGCCCATGATAGATATATAGTAGGTAGATTGAATGGAGCTAATAGAAATATGTGAACTTTGGGGCACAACCACTTATAGCACACATCTAATACAAATCAGCTTTTAACAAGTTTAATGAATTTAAGAATGTTTCCAATTTAATAGACATATTGTCCTGAAATGCATCTGCTAGAATACAATGAACACTGTTGTGATAAAGATCATGATATTTAAGCCATCTCGGAGGACTCCAAAACAATGTTGATTTCGTCAATGATGATTATTTCGTTGATGCATCTGTTATTCATGACGATAACAAAAACTGAAGAGCTAAACATGGATCTTTGGTGACGAAAACAGGACGTGTCAAAAGTTAAAGTTTCATCAACGAAACTAAATAAAAATTAGCGGGCGGTCGGTCAAAAGGAAAAGTCCGGTCAGCAAGGAATAATCTATGGATCATTATTTATACCTAAAAAACTAATACGTTTGCGGTGATTTAATGAATTAAGCGTTAATCAGTAAAAAAAAATTAAAACAATTTTTTTGGGAGCGGCCATTTTTGCCCAAATATAGTAACACCTCACTCCTGCCATCTTCTGGCAGTGGGAACTACTAGACACATCTGCAATCAACAACAATTATTGAAGA